AAGCTACCTGTACATTTATTCATCAACCCAAACCTCAGTTTGGATCCTGCATTGAAGGCGATTCGTTTCTCAGCAGGTAGATTTTAATATTGTAGTGTTCTATAGGCTATATAGTATAATCGTCTTTCCTGGGTTACCTTATTAAGAGATTACCTGGACATGAAATAAATTATTATATTTCAAGTGATAATTGGCTACTAACCTCTCTGGTAGATATTCAATCGATAACTACTGATAACTTTGATGCCTAGAAATATCTCTTAACCACTTATAACAATCGTCTAAATCTTATGCCGACAAAACGAACACACGGTAAAGTTCTAATAAGTTAATTCTCACTAAAATTGATGTTTTGCTGTAAGACCATAATTGATTTACAGTTACATTATTCAGATTGTGAAATGCAATATAACAAAACTGCGCAATCAATGATTCTTCTTATTATCTCTAGATACTTCAACATTGATTTGATGACCAACCTACTAAATAAACATATGCAATAGAAGTAAAATGTTCGACTATGAAGACCAATAGGAACCAATTACGTTCCCACCTTTAATCGTTATCTCGTGATGAACCAAAGACAGAAAAGAAGATAAACTCCAGAAGAGGGCGTATATTTACTAGCGCTCTCGTGGTACCGAAAGAATACCTATAATGGCGCGAGTCGAGATTGACTATGGTAACCACTACAGTCCAGTTGCGTACCAATTACCAGGTTAGATCCCTCCGTAAAACTGAAACAAGGAGGAAGGCTGGGTCCATAAATGAATGTGTATTTGTTGGCAATACCGTGGTATCGAAATAATACCGATATCGTGTCTAGGTATACAGGCGAGACTACCATGAGTACGTGAGCAAGGTTTTTGGTACAATTAAACAAAAAGGTGCAGTAAAACAATCACCGGTTCAATAGGTTATAATAGTAAATGTTTCTATTAAACCAATCGCGTTCTCTTCGAAAAAGTGGAGTCACTACAGTAGCCCCCGCTAGAAAGGGTTTACACTTTCGATACGTAGAGGCTTTGTTCATGGGACTGGTCGGCAAAACCTGCGATTATAGCCTGTAAGGGTTGATGCACAGGAAGCGATCATTGATCCTCCAGTTGTCACCGTAGGTCTTTTACGGAGAACGGTACCAGGAGTAACGTGCCATGTTTTGCTGCTCGAATGGGCGTGCTACGACAGAGTGGTTTGTATCCAAAATCTGAAGGTGGCGTTCGTAGGGGACCGGATCAGAAAACTCTGTAGACGTAGGACGAAAAACCACGTCCAGCGGAGAAACCAGAATCGACCATGATAGCCAGGTTCAGGATCGTAGGTATGCCAGACGTAGTTGGAACCAGAAAGTCGACTGAATACAATGACAAGGGCGTTAGTGATCAGGCCAGAGGTTATAGAGATTTATTTGAGTCAACTGCACCAGAAGGGAGATGGTCAAGGTAGTAAGCCTAGGATGAAAAAAATCAAAGCAAAGAAACAAAGGTGTAGCGACTATTTAGTAAGAGGTAGAATCCTATATCTTATACGTCGCTCATTGAGTGGTTAGTCGCGAAAATGTACAGGTAGATGTGCCTGACGACTGGGACGTGAGACGGTAATCTCGTTCGTACCTCGTGGTTGAAAGCTTTAGACTGCAGTCTCATCCGAAGTCAAAAGCAACGTAATCTGCTGATCTGGAAGTGAGACTGTAGTCTCATCCGTAGATAGTGCAGATGACACGTGCTGTTGACTTGGATGTGTGAAGGAGTTCAGCGGCGGATCATTGGATATCTGCCGTTACTGCCCTGTAATCGCCATACAGTCTCCAACTAACGCCATCTCTTTTGCGGACCATGTGGAGATGGGGGGCCTTTGAACTTTGAGAAAGACGAAATGATGCATATAGCAAGTAAATTTTCAAAATCACGCTTAGTGAAAACTAATTTGTCCAGCACCAATTGGCGAGGTTTTCCCGTGACTGGGGGTCTGCATGTGACGATGTGGCCTACCACATAGTTAATCTTCGACGGAATCTCTTTGGTTTCGTTAGCTGGGGAAATTTATCGAATAAAGTGTCAAATACATCGTCACGCGAATGATATACTCAACTGATTCGGTACACATCTTTTTGAGCTTTAAGACCCATGAAATTAATATTCGATGAAGTATCGATTAACCGCAGCCTACGTGAATCGACTAGCAATTCAAAGTGCTGTAGGAAATCGGTACTGAGCGTGGCTGTGGGAAAACCGACATTGATAAGCTTCCACAGATACTTTTGTCGGTTGCTCAGGTTGATCGTTAGCTGTCGTGTACCATAAGTAGAAATAACTGAGCCACTCGAAGAGCGTAGTCGAAGCATCGTAGCTTGAGACATGCTGTTACCAGTCAGTACGACAGAAACTTGAGCACCTGTATCTACTAAGCACATGGCGTTAGTGCAACAACCGTGAACTTAAAATAAGAGACCAATCTGAGATGAGGGGCCAGAGAGTACAGCCGTGTTTATTTGTCGGCATGGGAGTTTCCCGCTTTGTATAAGCGGGGTCTGGACAACGGTGGGCACTAGAACCGAGGGCAAGGTGAAACGAGCAGAGACCGGTGCTCATTTCCGTAGCCGTCTTTTGGCGTGGCTTGGAATGTGCTCGCTTGGAGCCAGCAGCTACAGCCATACATGATTGTGATTTGTTTCGGGGGACATGGAGTGCTGGAGTGATAGAACGGTCTTAGAACTTGAGACGACTATGAATACAACCCTGATCACCTTGAGCTGGGGGATAACTAGCATCAAGGTCTGTATTCACATGTAACGTGGAGGTAACTATATATATATGTCCCCAAAACTAGTCCTCGCATTGATTTTGTCTGCTATGAGGTTAACCTTGGAAAGTGGCATGTCCTCGAGCAGAGCTGTGATCGTGGGATATATTTGATCTAATAATGCTTCGAACCGAAATTCCCTGACTATGTCAGAGTCAGCTGTTTAAGATCCTGCCAAAGACTACAGGCGTGCGAGGTGGTGGCTCCGCTTAGCATCACCCCGACGCTGACATGCTAATAAAGTTCTCAACAGTTCCTCCCTCGATGAGAATCACTTCCTTGAAATGACCGTAGACATTAGGTGTATTAGGGTTCAGGACGACCTCATGGACAGCAGTTGTATGACCCCTAAATAAAGTCTCCAGAGCGTAGGAGTATTTCTACTGCTGGCTCGTAATGCGGTGGATCTAAAATTAGGTTTCCAGTGCTGCGAACCAGACCTATGGATCGTGCAGGATAAAGGAAACAGGTCGGAATTTGATAACCTATACCTCGGAGTCCATTATTTTATTAATATTCTTATGGCTATCCACCATTTCGAAAGGCTGTCGCAAGGATAATATTTATTAAAAGATGTCAGTAATGTTAATGCAATGAAATAAAAATAGGGATAGATGAATAACAGACTCACCAGAAACGGCTTTCTTAGTGAAAAAAACGTCAGCTCACCAGATATAGTGATGAGTTTATATGTGTATTCTTCCAAATGATACCTGAGATTGCTTCAATATTAATATAAAATATCAGGAAATTTGTATTGCTGATTTGTTGGGAATTTTCTCTGTCGAACCTTTCTCGCTACCGAACACTAGAGACAATTGGACAGTTATTAGAATTGTGGAAATATTCATGTAGAGTATGAGCTAATTACATTCATGCTTCATATTTATATAGTACTGTACACTAAGGTTGAATATTTGATTTTAAATCATTGGTCTGAAAGCATTGTGCTCACCGCAACATTTGAAATTACTGAAAACGATCTTGTCTGATGCCATATGTTGGACATTTCAAAACCAGAACTGAGTGAATATTCAAAGTTTCCTTATTTTCAGTGCTTCTCCGCCATCTGATATCATTGCATTAACAGAAATCTATCTTCAAGAACTACAGGACAATAATGGTTATCATTAATTGTTTAAAATAATAACAAGTTTAATCACTACAATGGTTATCAGAATTAGATCATTCGTTTGTGATCTTTACAATCCCATACACATCACCATAATAATTTTAAGCGAAGAACTTGCAAATACATTCAGTTTATATTAAATAGTCAATTTCCATGAAATTCTGTCAAGATTTAAATGTATACATTGTTTTCTAGATATACTCAAAATGATTAACTCATATTTCTGAACAAATTAGCATCCAATACAAATTTATTCTGATATCATATTGAAATTCACGAAGTAATAATCTTGTACTTCGTTTTAGTATGAAAGTTCTCCAATGTACTATAACATATTATTCACGTGCCTAAAGAGTTTATGGTTCAGTGATTAACAAGACTGATTGCATTAATGCTTGCCTCGTCATTCCCTTTCTTTAATTATACAATAGAATGCATTTGTCCGATGATTTATTTTCATGTCTTGACAACGATATCAAAAAAAATTCAAACTATTGTGTTTGTTTATTCACAATCAAATTAATAGCGCGAAAATCAAAATTCAAACATTGTCAATTGTCAATTTTATTTTATGGAGTCAGTAGTTTGAAATTATTCATTCTTTTTGATAATAAGTCAAAAATATATATATAAGAAGAAAAGTATAATAATTTCAAACACTGGACCGGCATAGTATTTTTTATATTCAACAATCAATGAATCCAACTTAAATCTTGCCTCAATAAATTAATGACAATTTAATTTAAGGTCACTTAATTGATTTCTATTTTTCAAGAAATCATCACATTCGAAGCAATTAATTTTTCACTAAATCGAATTTCATAATCACAATTCAGCAATCACCTTACGTACATTTAATCTAATCACATTGATATATATAAATATATATAATGATATAGATTGGTAAATGTAACAAAGAGAACTACACTTTTGTTCATATTCACACTTGAAATTGTGGAAAGCTAATAACTTCAAAATAAAATCCTATAAATCGGTAATTTAATTCTATCAATTCATTTCAAAGATTTTGAAAGGATTGAGTGTGAATAGAATTATTTAAAAAGTTATGAAATATATTGTATGTCAATTTCCTTCAATACAATTTCAAGAAGAAATATTTGAAGAACTAACTGAACGTTCAAATGTAATGTTAAATTCTGAAAAATAATTTTTATTTAATTTTTTCGGTATAAATAAATGTTTTTTTTTCAATTAGGGTTATGGTAATCAGTGTTTTTAAACACGTAGAATTCGATCATTGTTGGGCCACCATTAGAAAGATAGAAGAACAGGGTGACCGTTTCGTCCTGCTATGTTACTCATGAGTAGTGTGTATACACGACTCCTGCTACTCGCAGAATTTGAACTCAGGGCCTTCGGTCTTGAGCTCGAACACCTAACCTCTGGACTACTGGGCCAGCATCCAACAGTGCTATTGTCTAACTCTGATCAATCTAGGGATCTCTTTCGACCTCACCCATTTAGCTTCGGTAGTTAATGATACGCCCGACAGGGATGAACTTCACTGATTACGTATAGAAATTAATTTAAAGAATTTTACAAATCACTGAAAAATTTAGACTACACATAAACTTTTGAGCAGAATTTACCCTCGAAATACTTCACAACATTTACTTACCAATGTTTTTGAGCAACACAATATGGTGATTACCACTGTGTGAGCGAATCCATTTGTAACCTGTAAGTAATGGACGATATTTTCTACACATTTATTTGTCAAGTTTCAGTGTTTGATTTTGATATATGACTAAGTTTGTCAAAACTCGTTTTGAAATTAGTGTTTAGTGATACAGTATAATAATCTTTTATTTCAGTTATTTTTGTAATAACAATTCATAATGAACTTTGGACTTGATTGACCATAGTTTAAGATCAATATTATCCTTGTAAATCTAAAAACGGAACTGTTTTGTTTATAATCATTTTTATTCATTGAAATATATATATATATATTTAGGGTGGAAATAAATCAATGACAACTTCTTTTTAACGAAAGCAATATCCATTCTCGGTGATCATACTGTGATATAAATCTTAATGACTTGACCTACAATCTAGACATTACAGTCGAATGAATTCAGTCGGATAAAAAATCATTTGTGCACAACCAATCTAGTCACTTCACTACCATACAAGATACCAGATTGATATCTATTGATATCTATTTACATAGATCAGGAAAATTTCCATTGGGAATCTCTTTCTACTGAGTGGTGTATGAAGTTTAACAAAACTCTTGAAAAAAATATGATATTTCCCAACTAATAAACCTTATTCAGAGTTAGACATTAACACCGTTGGATGCCGGCCCAGTGGTACGATGGTTAGGCGTTCACGCACAATAGCGAAGGTCCCAGGTTCGAATCCTGAGAGGTGCAGGAGTCGTGGATGCGCACTGCTGATGAGTCCCATATCAGGACGAAACGGCCGTCCAGTGCTTCCAGATTTCTAATTATGGTCTAACAACGACTGATTTGATTGATGATTTCAAATGTCTAAAAACCTCATTCTGTTAGCTGTTTCCTCAGCTTCATTGAATACTTTGATATTGCATCCCTCGTCTTTTATTGGTTGATAGTAAAACAGGTTAATCAAGTATGTAATGTAGGCAGCAAAGTATGAAAACATTTTTTATATAAATTCCTTGACTAGAGTCAAGCTATTTTTATATATAACTAACTATGAAAGATTAATATTCAAACTGTAAATTTCTAATCAAATCAATTAAATTACTAACAAATTTCATTTTGTTAACAGCAACCAAAGCATTCAGAAACATCAAACAATGTAATCATCCAAATACCGACAGTCAATGACTTGAAAACAAATTCATGGTACGTTTAGCCTTATAATGTGCTTCGGCTTTGTTATATTTATCTTTATTTAAGCGCGAAATTTACCGCATACAATTTTTCAGTACAAATGCTTTCATTATAACAATGATCCGTTTTATATGTTTATGAGATATTTAGACGACAGATGATACACAATTAACTCACTAACTGTATCAACTTCAGGTATTAACTAGATAAAATATGTGTATACTAAAAGCAGTCAAATCAAAACATGACATCAATCCAACAAATTAATCCTGCGACCTATAATAATAGAGTTCAAAAAATAATTATCTAGACGCTTTAAAAAGTAAATCAATAAGTTTACAGTATCAAGTACAGGATAAAGTTGCTGTTTAATTCATCCTCACCGTACACTCCTCAGTAATCCCATATTAGGAAGAAATAGTTGTCTCGTTGCTCCGTAATATGGACTACGAAAATTCAATATTCTTCACAAATTTCTCGTACTAATGTTGGGAAAATTAGATCCCCAGAACTCGTTTGATAAATGCTTTAATTTGGATTTCACGTTTGCGAACATGAGCTGATCAGTTGACCTTGAGATTTCATTCCCCACCAGCAAAATCCTTGGCTGTGATTGGTTACTGTGTATTTTAGTGTGTTATTTTTGTGACTGTACCAAGGACGTTTCTATGATGTATAAATAAACGAGATTTGAGTGCTTGAATTCATTGTGCTTTCTGGGTGTTTTTAGCATATATTTTCTATGCTATATCAAGACTTTTACTTAGTCACTGGATCAAGGTAGCCTACCTGAACCCTGGTTCATTGTCTCCTTCTAGTTTATCTACTAAGGTGAACCCGATATAGTCTCAAGCACACTTAGTGACCAACCTAACAACTAATAACTATAAATGTATAGATAGTGAACCAGTCAGCTGATTCACTGATGAATTAGAAGTGTATATTTATTGAAAAACATTAATATCAAAAGCTTTTCAGTAGAAATACATTTATTCGCACCACAAATCAGGTGAAAAAAAAACAATATATAACTATGTATGTTTGATTGAATAAATTATTAAATTTAAAAATTAATTTGATTGAAATACTTTTTTTTTCCTTCTACGTACGCGCATGCATGCATACAAACAAATAAAAAAATTTAATTGAAATTCGCATTGTTTTTATATTTTTCAGTTTACTAATTCTGTGCATTGTTTCTTGTGATATGACATTGAACATACATTATAAAAGTATGAGTCATTATTTTTGAATGTGATTGATTCATTTATAATGGTATTCACTTATGTTTGTGTATATGGTGTGTAGAATACAAGTAGTTTGTATGAAAAAAAAACAATTTTCATCGATCAAGAATCAGTTGATTTGTATTTATTTTGTTTTTAATTATTTAGTTTAAATGCAATGAATTATTCAATATTCAATACAATGATAATTCATTAGTTCAAAGACTAAAAATTGGCATTTTTCATTCTCTAGTTAAGAGTTTTTGTTGAAACAGTTGAAACACTTACAATGTTAACAATATTTATAATGATTATCTAATGACCTTGATCACATCTACTAAGAAGCATATAAATTAAGACTGCATGTTCAATGATGATCTCCTGTGATACTAAAGACATTGATTATCTAATGGTATTGACCTTAAATATCATCAGACATATCGGCTATCAACTCTAGGCATTTTATGACTGATGAGTTTATTTAATATGCAGTCTTGATTGTATGCTTCTCAGTAGATATGAGTAAGTACTCTTTAAGAGGTTATTATTATACAGTTATCATTATAAATTATTCAACTGTGAAAACTTTGTCTGTTTATCTAACTATCCAATAAAATCAATAAATTGAAAGAAGACGATGAATCATAATCAAAGTATTGGAAATTCACAAATGAGAAAAAGAATTTGAGACGTTTATTTATCGATTAGATTGCTACATCGTGTTTTAGTGTTTTTTTTCTGGAAATTTACACGAAAACTTAATGAGAGCTAGAGATTGAGATTGCAAAACTAAGTCCTTGTGTAGTGAAGGAAGAACACAGGTGAGGGCAACCGAATTACAGAGTTAATTGGTAAAATAGGAAAACCATATCGTGAATCGTTAATTTGCAAAATATCGATCCATCATATCGAAACTGGACTGTTCCTGTTGCAAACATCTAATCCATTGTCTGACATTTCACTGTTCATGTGTTTCATACAAATCCCATTGTGTTCCCGCTCTTCCTTTCTTGACCTTCCCCCATCTTCTGCTGCCAGACATTACGTTTTTACTCGGGTCATATACTACTTATAAGTAGCGCGCACCACACTTGCAAATAAAACTACAGTAAATGAACATGCCAATACTTTATTTTCGAATTTTAATCATCAAAGGTTCAATATGATGGATGATAAAAGCTAGTGCAAGTTTTTTTTACTTAGAGAGTTCTACTAAAAATTGTCATGTTTTGAAGAAACCTATGTTTTACTTTGGATAAGTGTAAGAAACACTTCAAATCATAAAAAAAGTAGTAAATTAGGAGAATATTCCAATTTTTCAACAATCTGTAATAAATCTTAGCAGCTTGTATAGATAACTTACTAGTCAATCGATTCCAACCAATCACCTGTAAAGATTAACTAAACACTTAAGATGTTATTTCAAAGGTAACCATGATAAAAGTCAAAATCAGTAACATTGAATACTGATGTGATCTTTAGTACCAAAATAATTCAAGTGTTTGATACGAATATTATTCACACAGTCAATTTGTTCGCATTGTTTTTGAATTAATATCAAACCAACAAATGATTTTTAAGATTTGTGATAAGTTCGTCACCTAGTATGCTTGAGGCTATTACGAGTTTACCTTAGTCGATAAACGCGAACGAGACTTTTACCAGCTTCCAGGGAGGCTACCTTGAATACCCAAAATCGAATAGAAGGCTTTGTAAGCGTAGGAAGTATATTCTACAAACACCCAGCAATCACAGTACAATCAAGCATACAACTCTCGTTTATTTATACAACATAAGAACGTCCTTGAGACAGTTAAGAAAATAGCATACTAAAATACACTGCAGCCAATCACAGCCATTGATTTTGCTGGTGGGAATTGAAATCTCAAGGTCATCTGATCAGCCCATGCTGGCGAAACGTGAAAACCAAAATACGGCATTATCAAGCGAATTTTGGGGATCTAACATCCCCAACACTCCTCCCCTTTTTAATAGCTTGTTCTCCTGGGGTCGACTTGCATCTTGACTATTGTTCGCCGCTGTCTGAGGGGATACCTTCGGGAACGAAGAACAGCTTGCTGCTGAGTTTCTTCTCGTGGCGGGGCTCTCGGTAGGTTGAAGGTATCAAGCAAGATGTCAAGGGGAAGGCTTTCTGCTCTTGATGGGCGATCTGGGGCTAGCCGTCTGCGTATCTGATTGCGATGACGTGACCATTTATCACCTCCTACCTCTACTTCGTACATAACTCGACCAACCCTTCTGACCACTCTCGCTTCTACCCAAGGACCATGGTTCGTTCTGTAGTCGCGGGCAAACACAGGGCATCCCACCTCGTAAGCGGATTGTCTTTGCTGCTTTGTCTCTACTGATGAGGGTGCATTAGTCGGATGCATCAGGCTGTGGATCGTTTTCAATCTTCTTCCCATCAGGATTTCAGCTGGGGACTTTTGCTCCGGTAACAATTCATTTGGTGTTGTCCGATAGACGTACACGAAATTTTGTAACGTTTCGGCTGGCGTCCCCTCCCCTTTTGACTTGAGCAGTGCTCTTTTAAACGTATCCACAAACCTTTCCGCCTGCCCATTCGATTGCGGGTGGTATGGTGGCGAGCGTAAGTGTTTAATGGCTAGCCGTTGACAGAAATTCTGGAATTGGGAAGAGGTGAATTGAGAGCCATTGTCGGATACGATCACATCTGGTATGCCATTTCGTGAGAAAATTTCAGTTAGTAGCTGTATAGTCTTAGTTGTAGTGGGCGGCATAACGGGGCTAATTTCCGGCCATTTAGAAAAGGCGTCGACGACAATTAAATACATAGCTCCATTTATTGGGCCAGCGAAGTCGACATGTATCCTGGACCAAGGATGCTCAGGTTTGGGCCATGAAAGAGGCGGAATTTTGGCATTCATCTTTGCCGCCTGCTGACACCGGATGCATTTTCCAACCAACGCTGTGAAGTGTTGATCCATGTGAGGCCAGTATGCATAACTCCTGGCTATGGACTTCATTCGTTTAATCCCAGGATGACCAAGATGGAACTGTCTCAGCACTTTTGCACGAAGGGATGCTGGCACCACTACTCTTTCACCAAACATCAGACAATCGTTGACGATGCATAGTGACTCCCGCCGCTGATACAGTTGCTTCATGTCACCTTCAAACTTTTTCGACGGCCAACCGTTAGTGACATATTTCATCGTCATCTTGATGATGGGGTCGTTTCTAGAAGCATTTTGTATGTCTGTTGCAGACACCGGTAATGCGCGAACTGCGGTTGTCAGATAACATTCTGCGTGGTCTTCTACTGACAGAGATGCGATCACCATGTTTTCCTCAGCCGCCACTTGATCATTAATGAGTCGTGACAAAGCGTCTGCTTGACCGAATTGTAGAGTACGTCGATATTGGATTTCGAAATCATACCCCAAAAGTACCAAGGCCCATCGCTGAAGACGATTTGCAGAATGGGCTGGAATGCCAGACTTTGAACCAAATATTGCTAACAGAGGCTTGTGATCTGTGGGGAGCGTGAATCTCCGACCGTAGAGAAACTTATGGAAACGGCGAACAGCAAACACAAGGGCAAGAGCTTCTTTCTCTATCTGGCTATACTTCTTTTCTGCTGGGGTCAGCGTACGGGATGCATGCATAACGGCTTTTTCCGACGCGTCTGGAAACTGATGTGAAATAACAGCACCTAGGCCATATGCTGAAGCGTCTGCTGCTACGATGATCGGCATGGATGGGTCGTAGTGTGTTAATAACAATTCCGAGCTAATTATAGACTTGAGTTTACCAAAAGCCGCGTCACACTCTTTAGTCCAGTTCCATGTGCTATGCTTCTGCAGTAGACAATTCAATGGAGCGCGAATATCATGCATCGAGGGAACAAAAGCTGAATAATAACTGATCAAACCGAGAAAAGATCGTAATTCCGAAACATTAGTGGGAGTGGGCATCAGTTTGATAGCTCGGATGTTTTCAGGATCCGGTCTGCGACCGTCGGCATCAAAGATGAATCCCAAATACTTTACCGACTGCAATAGAAACTGGCATTTTTCTGGGCGTAACCGGAAACCATTGTCACTGATGCGTTGTAGTACCAATGTCGTGCGTTCCCGTAGCTGTTCTAACGTCTTCGCAACAATCAAGATATCATCGAGATAAGCTGCAACCCCTGGGATATCTGACAGGATAGTATCCATTAGTTGTTGGAAGATAGATGGTGCAGTCTTAATTCCAAAAGGTAGGCGGTTATACTGGAACAAACCACGATGAGTGTTGATAGTAAGCAGCTCTTTAGATGCTTCATCGACTTCCACTTGCAAATAAGCATCAGCTAGGTCAAGCTTTGCGAAGAACTTTCCCCCATTCAGCATAGTGAACAGATCTGCTGGGACTGGCAGAGGATAATGATGCTGTTCTAGAGCTGCGTTGAGACCTGTAGAGAAGTCAGCACATATACGTATCGTGCCGTTGGCCTTCTTGATAACGACTATAGGTGCTGCCCAACTGGAGTAAGAAACGGGAGTAATAACTCCTTGTCGTTGAAGGCGATCCAGCTCTTCATCTACTGTTGCTAATGTAGCATACGGTACAGGTCTCTTTGGACGAAAAGCAGGCTTAGCCCCATGTTTCAACCGAAGTGTTGCTTTCATAGCAGTGCACCGACCTAATCCAGGTTCAAAAATGGTTGAAAACTCTGTCATCAGCTTCTTCGTATACGCTTCTGGGTCATGTCGTTGTGATACCAGGTTGAATATGGTATTTAGCGGGACATCAGCCAATTTCAGCTGGTCGAACCAATCTAAACCAAGTAAATTTAGATCAGCTGGCGTTATATAGCATACCCCACTAAACGACGAATCTCGGAAAGCAACTTTACATTCCAATTGTCCTAACAGACGAAGATAATTACCACATGCTGTACGAGGCTTTTGTGTTGTGTGCTGCAGGCTTGGGCTGCCCAATTTGGTCCAATTTTTGCGTGAGAGGATAGTGACATCAGATGCAGTATCTATTTGCATTCTACACAAATAACCGTTAATATTAAGAGTAATAAATTTCCTCTCACCTGGTGATGAGCTTTGGCAGGAAGATATTAGGCTCAATGCATTGGTACTGGATCTAGGAACAGGCTTCTTAGCACTTCTGGATCGCTTTGGCTTTTTCTGTAGGCAAAAGCCATCTTTATGACCGATGACTTTACACTTCCTGCATCTATGCTGCCTAAATGGGCAGTTCCGTACATAGTGCCATGAGCCGCAGTGCCAGCAAGCAGAAGGTGGATTCATTTTGGGTTTTTGGGCAGAATTGGAGCGGGGTGAACTGGGTGTAGCATGGGCAGACTTATAATGATTAGGTGGCTGCTGTACCAAATGAATTTCAGATCGGCTTGAACTACCACTCTGAACTATAGTCGAGTCTCGTTGTAGGTTAGTGAGACGTTGGTACTCATGAGCCATATCATTAAGCGTAAGCTTTGGATCTTGCTCCAACCGACTTAGTAGCCTTGTTCTAATGTCACTGAACTTACTCGACTGGAGGCTGCAGATGAGTATAAGGGCTTTGAACTGGTCTTCCGACAAAGACTTCAACCGAAAGCGTTCGCATTCACGGTTGACGATGCCCACGTGCGTAAGAAAATCATCATCTTCGTTCATAATAAGCTTCAAACATCGATAACGAGTATTAAATAGTGACGAGTTGTCTCCAAAGTGTTGGCTTAAAGTCTGAACAGTCTCAGAAAACGAACAATCTCGTGGGTTCAAAGGCAGGATCAAATTACAGTACTTATCCAGCTCACTTGCGCCCAACTTTCGAAGTAGCAGCCGAACCTTCCAAGCATCATCTTGGTTGGCGAAATCAAATTTAAATAAATCTTCACAACGCCGGAACCACATGTCAAAAGTAACATTTGCATCAGGATCATAATGAAATTCAGATATGCTATTTGCGATGCCGTCGACCGATGGAGCTGTGGTTGCATTAGATGAGCTGGGCTGTGTGGAAGGGGAAATCTTCATGTCTGTCAACATCTGCATCAGTTTCAGCTGCTGCTCAAGTAGTAATTCAAGTTTGGCAGGATCCATATTTCCAAAAGCACCGTCGCCACTGATAAGTTCGTCACTTAGTATGCTTGAGGCTATTACGAGTTTACCTTAGTCGATAAACGCGAACGAGACTTTTACCAGCTTCCAGGGAGGCTACCTTGAATACCCAAAATCGAATAGAAGGCTTTGTAAGCGTAGGAAGTATATTCTACAAACACCCAGCAATCACAGTACAATCAAGCATACAACTCTCGTTTATTTATACAACATAAGAACGTCCTTGAGACAGTTAAGAAAATAGCATACTAAAATACACTGCAGCCAATCACAGCCATTGATTTTGCTGGTGGGAATTGAAATCTCAAGGTCATCTGATCAGCCCATGCTGGCGAAACGTGAAAACCAAAATACGGCATTATCAAGCGAATTTTGGGGATCTAACATCCCCAACAATTTGATGCGCCAGATATCAAAGTGTTTATCCCTAAATAAACCAATATATCGGTCCATATTTTTTTCGAATCGAGAAAACATACACTGAATGATTATTGAGTAGTAGCCAGTCCTTATTGCTAATCGAATTACGTCGAACATGACCCAATATCCTCACCATTGTTCAGTTAAACAAAGTTATAAGCATAATTCGATTCTAGTTTTCATGCTATTTTTCATTTGTCAAAAAAGCTTAACCACACTGTCCAACTGATATGCTTGAATGCTATTACGAGTTCACCTTACTCGGTAAACAAAACGAAAGCAATGACTCATTAACACGATGGGCTATTCAAATCCATTTGTCTCAGGCCCAGGTAACTATATCAAGAAGTTTTGATAAAGTGTAGAGAATTTATTCTACAAGCACCCAGAAAATATGAGGTTGACAAGCACACAAATCGAGTTTATTTATACATGATAGAAACGTCGTTAGGAGAGCCACAAAAAATGGCGTCCTAAAATAATCCATTAACCAATGACAGTTAATAATTTTCCTAGAAGGAAATGTTAGCTTGGGGTAAACTGGCGCGAAAACATGAAAATTCAAAATTTCAGAAAAAAATTTAAGAGAAATTAGGCTCTTTCCAAGTGAGTTCTGGTGATCTAACGTCCCCAACACCAACTAACTCAATGGTAATATCTCAGATTACAAAGATGAATGACGCAAATTTTGCGTTTCATGATGGTTACCAATTCCCTTGAAATTGTAGACAAACCTTGATAGCAAGTTCCAACTAGCACAAAATCTCAATTCATCATGTCTTGATAACTACGTCTAGTTATTTAATAACAAACTAAAAGTTTAGGGTGTGACCCATTCACATAGATACATATATATTCATTTTTTTTATTTCTCTATCTTGCTTATCAGTCATACAACTCCAAGATCAAACAATTTATATAATACTCCAAGAAATTTTGAATTCTACGGCCAACGATTCAATACACCATGTTCAGAAAATATTTCCGTAAAACAACCAACTGTGCCGATTGGAAAAATATTACAAACTGAACAAAAACAACAGCAACGAGAAAATCTATTTCCTCATCGATCAGTAGCAGAGGTATCCTGTTAGATTTTTACATTTGTTTTCTCAATAAAAATAGCATATGTTACAAGAATGTTTTTATAATCGAAATATAGTTGGCCAATTAACTTGAATGTCACAGTAGGATTGGAAAATTCGAACCATAGTCTAATTGTTTGTTATACTAAAGAAAAATATTCATTGAACGTTTATTTCAGTTTATAGTGTAGCTATAGATATGTTCACGTCATTGATCGCTAATAAAATCAACTTCAAAATCCATTGTTCCGAAATTTGATATATTTTCTATTTGTTCACGAAACAACCTGAATACCCCACTATATATATATATATATATATCATATTTTAAAACTTTCAAGAAATTTTTCTTAATAACTATTCAGAAATATGAGGTTTTTATTATGGAGTTTTGGAGATTATTGATATTCGTTGAAATTATGAATCGATGGTTGTAAGTGTTCGTGCGCGAGGCCTAAGGTCCTGAGTTCGATTTGTTCTTGTGGAGATCGTGAATGTTCACTGCTGATAAGTCCGGTCGTAGGACAAAATGGCCGAAGTCTAACAATGATCGATTCATAATTTCAATGATAGCAATAAACACTTATATTTTGGGGCAGAGTTTTGGAGGTTTGTGTTTTTACACATTTGAAATCATCAATCAGTCATTGTTAGACCACCAATAGAAACCTGGAAGCACTGGACGGCCGTTTCGTCCTGCTATGGATGGGACTCATCAGCAGTGCGCATCCACGATCCCTGCACCTCGCAGGATTCGAACCCGCAAAATCCCTAGATCAATCAGAGTTAGACATTCACACCGTTGGATGCCGGCTCAGTGGTCCGATGGTTAGGCGTTCGCGCACAATACCGAAGGTCCCGGGATCGAATCCTGAGAAGTGCAGGAGTCATGGATGCGCACTGCCCTTTGATGTGTCCCACACCAGGACAAAACGACCGTCCAGTGCTTCCAAGTTTCTAATAATGGTTTGACAATGATTGATTGATGATTTCAAATGTCTAAAAACACTTATTTGTTCGGTTTTTCAGAATGGTTACCATTGTCCATATTTGATACGTTCCTAGCTTGAATAAAGCAAATTTACTGGCAGAAACATTTTGGAAATACGATGATGTCATCAACACATTTCATTCATAATCAATAATGTCTTGTTAAATTTATAGAAGTATCATTTACTGCGCAAGTCATTAGTAGAAATATCCATTTACAAAATGAACCAATAGGCATAAAATGTCACATTTTTAATTTATTTCTTGTAAAATATTTAACTTTTAATTGAATAAATTAATTTATTCATTCAACATTCATTTCAAATGGCAATCAATATTATTTGATAATGCAAAATGTATCTTACAAAACTGTTTGTTTGTTTGTTTAAATACTACTATACTATATTATAAATGTTAAAATGTCAATGTGTGGGATATTAACGATAACATGCATTTTCAATTATGGCGCAACAAAATGAATGAATGAACAAATAGACAGAAAAATGAATGCATAACTAGGCAGGTAGATAGATAGATTACCTACTTCCAAGATAAAATTCCGTTTTCTTTAAGTTGGAAAATCTACGACTTTTCCTGAACAAACGTTGAATGAATTTATTTGTCTGAACTAGCATACTATTAGTTAGTTAGCTAGTGTATCTGAAAAGAACTAGTATAAACAATTGAATTTTCGGAATCCTGTTTTTTTTCCTGTCACAGATAGGTATTGCACTTAGATTATGGAGAAAAATCGATAAAATGCATCAACAAATTGATCATGTGAAACAATCTCATGAAAAACAAAATCGTGTACGCTTAATGCGTTTATATCATACACAAAAACGTTGGGAGAATTTTGTCAAACGTGGTAAACGAATAGCTTTGTTACAAAAACAAAGAAGTATTGAAAAAATGCAATTTGACAAACAGAAATTAGAACAAATTAAAGCACAAAATGAAGTAAGAATACATTCTTATTAATTAAGATTGTTCAGTGGATCTAAATATTTTGATCTATTATTTGTTGGGGATGTTAGTTCCCTCAGAACTCACTTGAAAAAGGTCTTAATTTTGGATTTCTTATGTTTTCGCGCATAAGTTACTTAGTCGACCTTGAGATTACAGTTCCCACAAGGAAAATTCTTGACTGTCATTGGTTGATGCATTATTTTAGGACGCTATTTTTGTGGCGTTGCGGACGTTAGATCCCCAGAACTCACTTGGAAAGGTCCCAATTTTGAAATCTTTTTCTGAAATTTTGAATTTCCATGTTCCAGTTGATCTTCCCACCTCGGAAGATCCTTGATTGTCATTGGTTGATGGGTTATTTTAGTACGCTATTTTTGTGTCTTTCCCAAGGGCGTTGATATCATGTATAGATAAGCTCGATTTGTGTGCTTGTCAACCTCGTATTTTCTGGATGCTTGTAGAATATATTCTCTACATCTTATAAAGACTTCTTGATTTAGTTAGCCAGGCCGGGGACAAACGGATTAGAACGGCCTATCGTGTTACTGCATCATTTATCTGTGGTCCGTTTACCGAGTAAGGTGAATTCGTAATACTCTCAAACGTATCAATCGACAAGCATATCACTATTCTGTATAATAGAGTTTGATAATTAGTTTTCAATAATGTAGTTCTTAATTCACGCTACATTTCATGCTAAGTTGAAATTTATTTGACTATGAAATGAAATACTTGGTTGACGAATTGAGTATGGATTATTATCAGCGAGGATAGTGTTAGTTGTTTCCATAACTAATTGTAGTTACGCTATAACTAACCAATCGAATTGTAGTTTAAGCGTTCACCACGTGATCTGGTCTGATATGTCCGCAAACTATCTCTGTTGCAAATAACCTAATAATTAAAGGACATTATTATCTTATTATATTGATGTGACTCATATTTTTATTCATTTCCATAAGACACGCTATGTTGGTTGAAACAGATAAAGTTTAAAACCAAATTGGTCTTGTTTTGACCATAGCTTTCCCACAGACTCTGTGCTCGCCAATTTAACGTTCAAAGTCATTAACTCCACCTGTAGGACAAAATAAATCCTACAGATATTTTGAAAATGTTTCGCAAACTATACTGTTTGCAAAGAGAAAGGAAATTATTCCTTATTCATGATAGGCAAGTACAAAATTTCTGATCATCCACTGAGTATGGAGAACTATACAAAACACTTGCATACTTTTTCAATTAAATTCTATTTACCTTCAGTCAGCAGTCTTTATTTTGTAAAAAAAAAACAGTTCAAAATAACATTAGTCGTTAGTTATGATATGAACAAAACAACGTCAGTCAAGACAACTTGAAATTAGTTATGACCAATAAGTGATAACAAATGGAAAGGTAGTTTAAACTGATGAATACTAGATAGTTACATCATCTTAGTTTAAAAATCCCTAACTGTATACACTCACAATACAACGTATCCTTGAACCTGTGACGATCAAACATTGTGTTTACAATGAAAGCTTCAAATCATGAAGTTAAAATCTAATAGCCCTATATCTCACCTTCAAATTGTGTAGTCATCAGTCAATATCATCTTCAAATTAACATTACAGTTTCATTTTCATTGAATTCAACGCGTTACCTCTTTTCAACAAGACATTTTAAAAATGTGAAGAAAGTCATGAAGACTTAAATGCCACCATGATTTATTTCCAAATAGTTCTTGTAAATAAGTTCACAAAATTTCTTAGTAAATATTTCAACATAAAATTTCAGTTTCTTGCAATTCATTTTAACTGATCATGTTAAAATAATTGAGTGAGAATAATTTCATTCCCTAAATTGACTTGTGAAATGGTGGAGAGAATTTGTAGCTCAAATGAATGATTGTTGTGGAGCTGGATATTTTGGTTGAAGAGCTTTCATTTTGCTTTAAATCAGTTCAAACGATTTTCAATAACCCATATTGAATAAATTATAGTGTGATAAATTTTTACAACAACCTCATTTAGAATTTCCACTTTACATATACACAATTAAAAGTTTATTAAAATCTCATCTTTACTGATCAATTGAACATTTTTTTTCATGATGATTTCTTTACATTCCTATTTAAGTTGAATGAAAAATTAAAAACTAATCGTGAAAGACTTAGATTTCTTGAAAATTATCATAAACATTTAAAAAACAATGAACAACTCTTTGAAAATTATGCTAATTCTGAAAAACGATTATCAGATCAAAAACTATTCATTCAAGAAAAATGTCAACAACTAATGAATTTACAGAATAGAACCAGTAAAATCAGGTAAACACAATTTTGACGGATAATAGAAAGATTGAGTTTTTAATGTCTATTGAATTCGATGTTGTTCGAGTTAGTTTTTTCTCACAAAGTCATTTTTAAATCTTATTGAAATTATGAATAGATCAATGTAAGACCACCATTAGAAACCTTAAAGCATTAGAGGGCCGTTTTGTCCTGGTTTGGGACTCACCAGCAGTGTGCATCTACAGTTACCGCACCTCGAAGGATTCGAACCTAACACCTCCGGTCTTGCGCATGAACGACTAACCTCTGGACCACTAAGTTGGCATCTAACGGTATTCATGTCTAACTTCGATCAATTCGAGGTCTTGCGCAACCTGTCTTCGGTAGTTACTGTCTACACACGAACAGGGTTGAAGTCCACTGGTTACAATTTCTCACTAGAACTCGGAGAAGGTTCCTAACGGAGCTTGTCACTAAAATAGCACGCAATTGTATCTTGTATCAGTCTTCTATAGTTATGTTGAATTGCTGAAACAATCGAACATCAGAACACATAATACTTCAAACACAGATCATCTCTATTTGAGACTGTTAAAATGTTTTATTTTTCAACTGTTTTCCTGTCTTATACTATGATGTTTAAAATACCGTATTATACAATTTTAATTCATAAGAAAAGTTCAACACAACGATCATCTATTTACATCTCTGTTCTTAGAACCGAACTAATGTTCTCCTCATGAGAAGATGAGGAACTGGATAGTGTGACTTCAGGATTTTCAAGCTAAAGTTTGTGAGGGTAGACGACTGGAATGATTAGTTTTCTTTTGAAATACACAAGGTTTTCACAGGAAACTATGACTATAACATTATACAGTGTCACTAATACTTACAATTTAGAATCTCACAAATGAAAACTTTAATTTTGAGATGACAAAAGTATTTCTATGCAGAAAATTCATTTGCCGCTGGATCGGAACGAAACACCACTACAATCGACCAACTGAGCTGCAAATTTTCTTCACCATTTCAAAGTTCTAACTTTGATGGTAGTGAGACTGGTCAAATCTAACTACAATCTCTAATCACCGATTACCTAATCGCCAGTCTTTTAATTATCATTAAAGTTTGCCTACTTTGTGCAGATAATTGTTCAGAGAAGAGTCCTAATGAGATTGTGATTAGAGAGTTTAGCGATTTCAACCTAACGAGTGACGCAATCAAACATATTTATACACACACTAATATGTTGATATTAAAACTATTCAGATAGTTTGACTGGTATGATATTGGCACAACTAACCATGTCTTTACTCATTTCATGTGAACAGAAAGCTCGAGTATCTGAAAATTTTCAGTTGATTGTTGATAGCTGATTACATATATATATAATTACAAAGTTGAAAATGACGTATACATTAATAGATATTACTGTCTTGAATGAAAAACAAAGGAAGAATTATCTTACCAGAATAACATGAATTCATTTGTTTGGTGAATTCTTCTCAACTGCTTACAACCTAAAACCATTGTATTCATCACTAAAATGAAACCAATGTACTTACACTAAATCGGAAATAACCTGAGTTAGAATGAGGAGATAGACTAATATACTGAGAGATCATAATATTCAAGAATTAAAATTGTTCAAACATTTGCTCATTTATAAGTTAAATAAATAAACATTCTAAATTCCTAGTTGATTGTTCAAAAACGGATATGACTGAAACAACGGAAAGGTGTACCATATAGAAGTTAAAAGACTTTTTTAAACAGAGACACTAACATCGTTGGATGCCGGCCCAGTGGTCGGATGGTTAGGCGTTCACGCACAATACCGAAGGTCCTGGGTTCGACTCCTGTGAGGTGAAGGAGTCGTGGATGCGCACTGTTGATGAGTTCCATACCAGGACGAAACGGCCATCCAGTGCTTCTAGGTTTCTAATGGTAGTGTAACAATGATTGATTGATGGTTTCAAATGTGTAAAAAACACAAATCTCCAAAACTGTACCAGAAAGGAATTTAATTATTAATGAAACGTATAATGAACTGAAACGTTGGGGATCGGGATTATCTCATACGGAGTTAAAATAAATATATTTCTTTTCGGGATTACTAAGGTAAAGCCCGATAATCCAGAAGTCAAAGAAAAGACTATTCTGGATGAAGAAGTATATTTATCGCTAGTCTTGTGATATCGAAATAATATCAAGACTAGGGTACAAGGGTGGCTAACAAAAAGCAAGGAGAGGAGAGGAATGGGAAAGACACGCTTGGCGCGCGAGAGATAGTTTCTAGTACAGAAAAACAAAAGGAGTACAATATAACAATTATTGTCAGAATTAAGTACAATAACAAATTTTTATATTTCAGCAATTGTGTTATCTTCGTAAAAGTATACCAATACAACCTCATATAGATGGACTACCAAAAATACATAAACCGGATGTTCCCATCAAACTTATCTTACTGATGATCAATTTTTCATCCCACAGACTCCTTAGCAAGGTTAGCGAATCATTTACAAGTTATCGGTCCATAGTTTGAAAAGCACCTTTCACTCCACCCAGATGCTAGAAATTGGTAATATTTTTGATAAATACACGGTTTCATTTCATATATCATCACTGTTTACTGTAATCCCACTAGAAGAAACCGTACACATCATAATTCAACAAGCTGAACTACTACTGTTGTGCACTAAAGATGTTTAATTTCGATTTGACGGTATTTTCTATACCGTCAGTTCAGTTCACTAGGCCCAATCCAAGCACATTATCTTTCTGGCGAACCTAGAACAAACAGTAATGAAATTGGAAATTGATGACCCAACTCTGTATGTCCGATGTGTGGTTGATACATTTAGTGCCTGAAATAATTCTGAGCATGCCTCTTGTATGTTGGCAATTTTCAACAGACCACATGCTAATATCAGGTTTATGACAGAATAAGGACATAGCAATATGTTTCATTTTCTAGATCTTTGCATTAAACGGAACTCAATTGGCCGATTAGACAGGTGAATTTATCGAAAAGACTTCGAGGTTGGGCTATACTTGAACTTCCACAGCTTCTGCCAATAAGCTACAGAAGAGCTTTGGTCAGAACATTATACAACTGTGTACAAAGACATTGTCCTCATGTAAGCACCATTCAGCTATGGCCAAAAAATTAGTAAGTAAATACGGTGCGTTAGAAGAAAAGAAAATGTAATATTCTACGTTTGAGAAAAAGCCTGTCCGTAAACCTATCAAAGTAATCAATAATTATAGGAATTCAAAATGGTTACATATTACTGAGGTTTTAGCAATAAAAAGTTTTAAACCGAAATAGTTATCAATCTTGTTCTGTTTTAGTGACCTTAATTTTTTTATGAGTTTATTACATAGGACTGTATCTTTGATCAATATTCGAATACGTTAACTCGAACGTTTGAGTTTTACTCAACTATTCTACATAATGTAACCTAATTTCTGTTTCGAAATGACTTTTCCTTCCATGTCCTTCTAGAATATTCTTTTATTTAACTTATAAATGAGCAAATGTTTGAACAATTTTAATTCTTCTCTCAGCACTAGTCTGTCTCCACATTCTAACTCAGGTTATTTCCGATTTAATGTATGTACATTGGTTTCATTTTAGTGATGAATACAATGGTTTTAGGTTGTAAGCATCTGAGAAGAATTCACGAAACAAATGAATTCATGTTATTCTGCTAGGATAATTTTTTTCCTTTCTTTATTCAAGTTTAATAATGGGAATAATTGCGTGAAACGTTGTTGTTTTGAAATCCCGCGATTTTCAAATTCTTTTATCATTTGTATCAACATTCTTTCAGTTCGTGGTGATGTTTGGTTCTCTGAGCTCTCAGCTCATCCGCCTGAGCTACAAATTTTTTCCTCCATCTCAATTTCTTTCAGTTCATTTGATAATCATCATAATCAAAGTAGTTCAAATCGTACAATGGTCATTTATCAGTTGAGAAATCTTTATTTTCAAAATGTTACTATCCAAACAAAAGCTTTCCTTATAGCTCATGCTTTCATATCGTATTATTCACGATTTTCGTCTTCACTGTTACTAAAAATACTTTTTTTCAAATGCCCTTTTATAGATCCCGACTGAATGAAGCCATAGAAGCTAAAAAACTACATCAAAATGAATTATCCGCTGAAATTCATCGTAATCGATTATGTGAGAAATTTTCTATTGAATCAAAAATACAAGAACGTAAATTGAAAGAATCCAATTCAATTAGTGAACATGTCAAACAACTACGTCAACAGAAACTTGTAAAAATTCCAATTTCAATGAAACTAACTAATCTGACGTTAGATGATGCTGATGCAGATCAATAATCCATGTAATTTAAATAACATTTTTGTTTAAATACATTTCGTATCTGGTATGTTTAATGAATAATCCCTGTATATGGATGGCCGTAATACAATACTTTGTTATTATTATTGTTATTATTAGTATTCTCTAATAAAAACTATTGATTTGACAAGCGTTGCTTTTTTTTTTATCTGTAGACAACGTACAATTTGTCATAGATTAGATCGTATGCATTTTCTAGTGTCACAGTATATGTTCTAACTACTTTTCATTTGATTAATATAATCTGACTGTTAGATACAATGTGAAATGTATCGATTAGAAATGTATTCAAATCAAGATCAAATTTCTAGTTGGAATGAAATAGTCTTTGAAGGTTTTTTAAATATAAAACGTGATTGATTGTGCGCACGAACTGGCAAATTTCTGGAAATAAACATTATAGTTAATGGTGACGAGACAGTTTATGTATGTTTATGATGATTATAGTCGATACATTGCATTTAAAGTGCAGCTCTATGAGCATAAGTTCGTAGTATATTTCATAGTATCAACATACATTAAGGAAAAAGCAAAAGTCTCCGATGCAACACAATATGCACCAACTAAATCACTCTTGATGGAGATGCTTTGGAGGACGATAGCACCTTTACATATCTGGGCAGCATCACTGACGAGCCAGGTGAATCTGATTCAGATGTGTAGGCTTGGATCAGCAAAGGAAGGACAGCATTTCTATAACTGAACAACATCTGGAACTCCAAACAACCTTCAACCAAAATCAAAATCAGGATTTTCAATACAAATGTGAAGACAGTTCTACTATATGGAGTGGAAACTTGGAGAACTAAAATAGCCATCATCCAGAAGATACAAGTGTTTATGAACAGTTGTCTACGCAAAATACTTCAGATTCGTTGGCCAGACCTAATAAGCAACAATCTACTGTGGGAGAGAACAAATCAGATTCCAGTGGAGGAGGAAATCAGGAAGAAGCGGTGGAAGTGGATAGGACACATACTACGAAAAGCACCTAACTGCGTCACAAGACACGCCCTTACTTGAAACCCTCAAAGGTTGAAGGAAAAGAGGAATGCCGAAGAACGCATTACGCCGAGAAGTAAAGAAAGACATGAGAAGAATGAACAAAAATTGGACAGAACTGGAAAGGGAAGCCCAGGACAGAGTTGGTTGGAGAAAACTGGTGGGCGGCCTATGCTCCATTAGGGTTAACAGGCGTAAGTAAAAAGTAAGTAATCAAAATATGTGATTAAAACATACAACATTCAATAAAACTACCATTTCGAAAATTATGTAATAATTTTTTTTGTCATGATTCTTCAAAAATGAGTTCTGTTCAAGCGACAAGCATCGATTCAGTTGAAAACTTTTTGCCTTTTAGCTGACCTCCTTCAAATACTTGACATAAACTTGTATTGAGAGGGAAATGGTGATGCTTGAACATCAGAAGGGCGTATATTAATAAAGGTGATCACTGAAAGAGAGAATATCATTTTTAATGATGTGAAATATGTTCAATCTGTCTTTTGTCCTAGTTAAAAACGTATTTTTTCTAAAGGCAAGATGAAGAGTCTACTTCTAACAAATACTGTAATTTTCTTAAACTGGTAACAAACCGTAATTACCGTAATCATGTTACCTCGTGTGTCTGTTGTGAACAGTTAGGGGGTAAATCTATCTAGAGAAGTGTTTTGAAAATGCTTGGGAAATATTTATGGAATTTCAATGGCATCTATTTTTAAATACTAATCAGCTAGTATATAATATATATATGAAAACAGATATTTTTGTGTGTTAGATTGCCATAGTTTGCCAGACAATTTCAAATGACCGGAAATAGGAAAGTCATAAACTTAATTACGATTCAGTATTTGTAACGATAGATAAAGTAAATTTGTATCGATTTATTTTGAAACAAAATATTTGATTCCTTTTCAAAAATATTGCCTGGATCATTTTACTGTATTGTAGTGTGTCGATTTACTGCGTATTCTTAAGCTTGGTAATTAGCATGTCCAGACAATCGTTACTAACTAGCGTCTGACGGTTTATAAATCAAAAGGCGAACTAGTAGTGTTGAATACATACAAAAAGCGAAGCGGAAAAGCAGTGAATAAAATGAATGAAACGAAGTGAATTGGAGAAGGCTGTTGAGCCAACTCCCAGGATTACAATGCTAACAAATAGACGAAGGGAGCGGATGAATAGGCGAAGCGCGTTGGAGAAGGCTAGTGAGCCAACTCATAGAAATAGAGCATGACTAAGAATATATAGTCAGACAAAAATATAAGACAGACATCCGACAAGCGAAATAGGCACACATGAACGAAAGCGACGAATAATTGACAAGGTCAAACGACAAGTGGAACATGTCATGTTGTGGTGCGCGCTACTTATAAGTAGTATATGACGCGAGTGAAAATGTTATGTCTGGCAGCAGAAGATGGGGGAAGATCAAGAAAGGAAGAGTGGAAACACAATAGAATTCGTATGAAACGCATGAACAGTGAAATATCAGACAATGGATTGAAGATTTGCAAATTAACGGTCACGATATGGTTTTCCTATTTTACTGAGTAACTCTGTAATTTTCGTTAAATACAATTAGTTTGCCCTCACCTGTGTTCTCCTTCACTACAATGTGAGCTCATACAAACCATACAATAATAAGAACGAATGGTACATACAAGTTGTTGCTATGTAAATGGCTTGATTAAATAAGTTAATCGAAAGGGCTTAACCAAATTAAATGTAAGCGAACTCGAATATATGTGGAGGCACTACAGTACGAAGAATTTTCCTTTTTTCTCTGACGGGTTATCAACATATGGCGCGGTTCACGTCTACGTCGCTTACTTACTTACTCCTATATTACCTCTCTTAGTCTGTTGGAAAATATCAACAGTAATACACAACTTCAAGTATCAAAATAAGGTTGAGTGTCGATCGAGAAATAAAAGTAAAATAAATAAGATAAAACCTAATAAGGGAAAGGTAATTGTCCACCTAAGAAGTACCAGGAAGACGAAGAATAAATGAAAAAACATGAAGGTAGTAATAACAAATGACTAAAACTTAACAAGAGTAAGATTAAGTATCAGTAAGCAATTGACCATAAGTCGAAAATCAAGTATCACGGTCAAGATATGATGACAGCTTGACCCGATGTTCTTGCACACCTAACTATGGTTTAAAATGATGAAATTCTGTCGTCTCTGTGACGAAATTATCTATGAGATATTGTTGAAATGTAGTTGAATTCGTTATTAAAGCTAAATAATTTAACAAACTATTTCAAAACTTCTACCTAACAAACGTAAATTTATGAACGACTTTACCTGGAATAAATAGTAATCCGACTTATATTTATACTTAATAATCCTGCGTTAGTGAAATTTATAATGACTACACAATGTCCACCACAAAATTAAGAGGTTTATCAAGAGAGTTCTGAGGATTTAGCATCTCCATCACTTATCTACTACCAGGACATTGCCTTTTCGTGGTGAGTTTGTTGTTTCATAAATGAAGAGGATGAAAATTTGAATGTCCGGAGCTTAAACCGGGTATGGAGGCTTCATCTAATGGAGTTGGAAAACCCTAATTCCTAATTAATGACGCAAACGGGCTCTAGGATACTGATGGAACAAATGACGTGTGAAACTAGTATTGGTCACCGGCTACCATGAAATTGCACCTCCTAACGTTGCTGTACTGCCTTGTGAATTTAACCTGTATATTAAAGGCTCAGATAGAAGCCTGCTCAGAAAAAGATTAAGTATCAGTAAGCAATTGACCATAAGTCGAAAATCAAGTATCACGGTCAAGATATGATGACAGCTTGACCCGATGTTCTTGCACACCTAACTATGGTTTAAAATGATGAAATTCTGTCGTCTCTGTGACGAAATTATCTATGAGATATTGTTGAAATGTAGTTGAATTCGTTATTAAAGCTAAATAATTTAACAAACTATTTCAAAACTTCTACCTAACAAACGTAAATTTATGAACGACCTTACCTGGAATAAATGATACTCCGACTTATACGTACACTTAATAACCCTATTTTAGTGAAATTTATAATGACTACACAATGTCCACCACAAAATTAAGAGGTTTATCAAGAGATTTCTGAGGATTTAGCATCTCCATCACTTATCTACTACCAGGACATTGCCTTTTCGTGGTGAGTTTGTTGTTTCATAAATGAAGAGGATGAAAATTTGAATGTCCGGAGCTTAAACCGGGTATGGAGGCTTCATCTAATGGAGTTGGAAAACCCTGATTCCTAATCAATGACGCAAATTGGCTCTAAGATCCTGATGGAACAAACGACGTGTGAAACTAGTATTGGTCACCGGCTACCATGAAATTGCACCTCCTAACGTTGCTGTACTGCCTTGTGAATTTAACCTGTATATTAAAGGCTCAGATAGAAGCCTGCTCAGAAAAAAAACACCTGCCTATGTTTATGCAGCTGGTCAGTATCCCAGCCTACAGACAAATTCAATGATTTGTATGACGTATGATTATTTACGTGCACCTTTGCACAAAGAATTGTGTATTTAAATAAGTGAAAAAAATCACTTAACCTAAACACGATTAACTGACAACTTACCTTTTAAAATTGTGTTAATAATCCGAAGTGACCGGATTTAAGATTTTGTGCGTAGCTGAAGAGAGAATAACGAAATACGATGAATCAATTTGTCGAAATTTTGCAAATATTAACGTTCTGGCTTGATTCAGATTTTATCGAAGTAATCAATCGCAAGAAATTCACATTAGACCTTGTAGAGTTCTTCACTTAGTATGCTTGAGGCTATTACGAGTTTACCTCAGTCGATAAACGCGAACGAGACAACTACCAGCGTCCAGGTAGGCTACCTTGAATCCCCAGGCTGAAGTAAAAAGGCTTTGTAAGCGTAGAAAGTATATTCTACAAACACCCAGCAATCACAGTACAATCAAGCATAAAACTCTCGTTTATTTGTACAACATAGAAACGTCCTTGAGACAGTTAAGAAAAAAGCACACTAAAATACACAGCAGCCAATCACAGCCATGGATTTTCCTGGTGGGAATTGAAATCTTAAGGTCA